CCACCCTCCCTTCCCACCCCCACCCCCTCCTTAGCAAGGCTACACAGTGCAAACTGGGGAAGGGGGATTTTTTCCCCACCTCCTTTGGGGGTGAAATGAGTCGCCATCAGCCAGGACTGCGGTTCCTTCCACCTCACTTCCACCCGGGTTGGGGAGACCCTCCAGGGCCCCTTGGTCCCCAGAAGATCCATCCCTGCCTGTACGCACCAAGAGGCAAAGACGAGGCGTGCTATTTGGGATTTGATGCTGAGAAATATCCGCCCCCCCAGGCTGAGGTGCCCTTTTTCTCCAAGCTGGAGCCCGGATCTGGTTCCAGCAGCCCTGGGAGTGGACCTGGTCACCGCTTCGGCGCCTCGCTGCCGCCGTATCTGTCCATCAGACCATCAGGGTCCCAACCGGCTCCTCTGCCTACTGCCTTCACTCCCTCCGCTGTGCAGGGGCATCCGCGGGAAGGTAACTCCCCAGGCTCCTGCTCAGACACTGAGAAGGGGGATTATGAGGTGTCGCTCATACTGAAGCCCGCCTATGGATCTGAGACACCTAGCAGAGAAGATCAGTCCTTTTTTCCGCAGGAAGCTCCATCTTTAGACAGGTCTAAAGATGATAAAACAGCACAAGAAATCCAAGGTGGGTAAAAAAAAAAAAGCGGGGGAGGGGGGCAGAGAGGAGGGGGGAAAAAAAAACAAACCTTGATTGCAAAAGAAGGCAACAATGTCAGTGGTCGGAAAGGGTAGGGACAGCAGAAGGTCTGCAGTCAAAACAAGGTGATTGCAGCCAGGCTGCCAAGGACTGGAGTATTTTCCCCGCCCCCACTAACACAATGGCCCCCGTTAGTTAAAAACTAATTTACAGCAGAATAGAGCTCAGGCCAGGCTAAAATCCCAGCCCTCCATCTAAACTGGCTCTACAGGAAGGACTAAAAGAACAAAAAGAAAAGAATCGGTGCTAGGAGAGATTGTCTTGGTGGTAACAAGTGGTGGGATTTTCCCCGCATGCTTTTTTGCCTCGGTTATTCTCTTAGCACTGAGTACGCTTGTGCACACTCGCGGGCAGGTAAGTCAGCTGTAGACACGAAGCGCTGGGGGAGCGGGTGTGGGCGCCCGGGGGCTCTTTGGGGTGAGGGGGGCTGGGGGGCTGGGAAATGCTCAGAGTGCCAATTGCAAAGGTTTCCCTCCTCTCCTCAGCCGCAGACACCTGTATAGAAACCCCCCTGCCTGCCCAGCCGTGGGAAGTGGTGGTCAGACCTTTACTTTAAGGGGGAAAAAAGAGGTCCTTTCATACCAAATCCTCTAAAATATTCGCCTAAAACCCCACCTTTGCTTCTTCCCCAATATTGAAGACAACGATTTTGGGGGCGGGAGAATCCACAGCCTCCTAAGAGTTATTTTTCCCCTTCTACGGATCTGTTCGCCAGCTCGGCGGTTCCAGTCCGTAATAATAGTAAGAAGGAAACCATACAGCCGGCGCCTGCCACCCCGGAAACCGAACTCAAATTAAATGATCTCCTCCCAACTATTTAAACCCCAAAGCGGACTCTTAATTGGGGTTCAGGCGTGGGGGAGGGGACTCCTCAAATTCCGTCGGGGTCTTCACAATATAAAAGGACCAACTTCAGAAACTGCCCGCCTGCATCTTGCATGGACGATCTAGTCCTTTAAAAAAGAAATAAGAAGAGGAATTACCTTTTCACTTCCACGAAGCGATCGTCGTTTCTTTGCTGCCTGGGTCTTTTTATTTGAAATCGCAGTATTTGTGTGGGTGATCAGATTCGTGCCCTTTTACCTGAAAAAAAAAGACTGTCTCCTAGACTTGAAACTGTAAGGTCATTTCGACAGGACTGCCAAGTCCACTTACTTGTGGTGACAGCTAAGCCGTTGTGTCGCCACGAGTTCAGACGTGTGTCTGTTCACAGACATCGGGGGGGGGGGGGGAACATGCATTTGTTTCAGTGACTGTATCTTTAGATTTAATTTCCTGTCCCTTTTCTACTTGCATACGTCTCTGGTCATTATGTGGGAAAGGCCTCTTGGACTAGCCAGTGTAACAGGATTGAATAGTTGAACGTATCAGTCCTTTAGTGAATCCCCCCGCCCCTCTGAAATGACCGAATGGTGGTCACTTATTGAGTACCTGATTTTAAAGAGCGTAGGTTTGTGTATTTCAGATACTTCCTTCCAAGGAGCATTTATCTTCTTTGATCTTAAACAACTGATTTACAAAAATTAAAACCTGAGGGCAAATCCTCCTAAAAGGCAGCAGATGAAAGAAAGGAAATCAAACTCTGAAAACAGTTAAGGCTAGAGCTATACACGCGTTTTTTTCTCTGGTAGGCTAAAATAATTTCCCTCCGATCCCTGGAAGCTATGGGGAAGTCAGCTAAACTAAAAGTTTAATTTAAAAAAGTTAAATGGGCATTTGCAGATTGACTGCTCATTGGATCATAAAATAAGATGGTTTAAAGCTTTTTGGTCGTTTCTATTATTTAAGCGCAATCAATGTAACGATTCTTATTTTTCTGTACCTGCTGCTAAATTACTTTTTAAGGCTTAGTTTTAGCCGCTTCACCAAAACATTTTCCTACTAATTGATGGAAATCTCAATTGACTGAGTCAGTAACTTAGTTGCATCTGCAGAGACTAATGAAGATTTAAAAATAGAGCGGGTTTTTCCCCCCCTCTCTTCGCACAGAGTCCGATCCAGCCAAGCATGTGAGTGCTTTTACTAACGTCCTAGGGGTTATTCATGTGACCGAAGTTAACTCACATGTTGAATTCTTCGAGGGACCCAGTGTAAATGGAGTTAATGTGACAATTTAACTTCCGATTCAGTCCAGGATAATTTCTTGGGGAGGGGGTTCTAATACCTAAATTAACTGCGAAACAGCAGCTCTGGATTTCCAACAGTTTGATAAAGTAGTTATTAAAAAGTTACTGAAGTATAATTTTAAGCTCAGGGTCTGGCTAAAAACAGAACATTTTTCGTTTTCTCTCCCTACAAAGTGTTACATGGATAAGGGGCCCCAGCTGAAAACTGGAGGGGTAGTTAGAGGAGCCTGTCCACGCTAAATATACCACCTTTGTTTTTATTCATATTTCTTGCTGTTTGAAAAAAAACTCCACCCCAAAACTCTAGCTCCTGAGTCTGCTTTGAATCACAGAGACTGATGTGAGAATCAGTCCTGCATTCCGATTTCCTTAATTCTTCAGACACTGGGGGGTGGGGGGGGGGGGGATTCAATACAGAAAAATGCAAGGGGCTCCACCTCGGCGGGGGGGGGGGGGGGGGGGGGGGGTCGATCAGACCCTTCCGACACATCAAGGCAGGGGTCAGTTACAAAGATTTTCTTTGCAGAAAACGACTCTCTTCATCCCAGAAAACCGCGGTACTGAGGATAGCGACTTTTTTTCAATGCCTTCAGGTGTGCTCTGGGAAAACCAGAATGGCATTGTCCTGTGGTTTCCTACGGCTTTCCTCTGGCTAACTTCAAGGGACACGAGGGATCTTAAAACCAAATAATCTCTGTCCCCTCTGCAAAATATTTACCTGCTATTACTGTCCCTATCACCCAACGTGAACTCGGAAAGAGATCAGAGTCAGGGCTAAATTGAACCGCGAGTACGTCCCGCCCATTCATGTCTAGTCAGTTTCACGCTTCATAGTCAATTTCTCTTCTCCTTTAAGGGAAACTTTCATGCAGCAACAGGTGAGAGAAAGATTCGGGTGATACTTTCTGGGGCTCTGTTTTACTTTTAAATAGTTTGCAACGTGATCGCAAAACCACAGAACCTGGCAGGGCAGACGCAGGACCCGAAGCTACGTTTTTAGATCAATTTTTAATTGACTCTGTTGCAAGCGGATGGTGCCCCCCTTTTTTCCACCCTTTAATTGTATCTCCTTCCCCCTACCGGAATTGGCTCCCTAGCTCTCGTATCCTAACAAACACAGGTGGGCTCTGAATATTTTATGTTGGATAATGGCTTGCGCTGCTCTTGGGATCCTAGGTAGCCTGTGGACTTTTCCAACCCACCTCCTCCTCTTCTCCAACTTCCCCATTTTGGAGATGATGGCTGCATGGCTTCATCATCTCCGATGATGATTTTTTCATTGCCCGATTCGCATTTAATTGTTAATTGACATCTGTGACTCTGCAGCTTCAGTCATTGAATCTGATTCGTGCTACTGGCCCAATGCCAGTTCGCCTTGAGTGACGTTCACACATTGTATCTGCGTTGACTGACTTTATGTATTTCTGCGTCCCAATGAATTAACAGTATAATAAAGCGGATTGCGTGGGTAATAACGTCAATGTGAAAATATGCTGATGTGAAGTGTAAAAGGATTCTGGTTTTAATTTCATTCCTGGGTTGCTCACTCCTATACAAGTATTTGTGACTGGAAAAATTCCTGGCTATTCCATGTTTTGCAGAAATTTATTTTAAACGCTTCCTTCAATCCCGTTTATCTTGGATTTATCACAGATACCCCGCTTCAGAGAGAAAAGAAGCGAACAGACTTTTACTGACAATCTAAATTCAAAGATACGTGCTCTGAAATGGGTTCAGAGAAATAGTTTTGGGGTTTTTTTTTACATGGGGAACGTAGCTGCGTTTCCCGATTGTTTTGTTTAAATAAGGCAAATTTATCATTTGAAACCATCGTTTAATTTACCATTCATTCTTCCTTTCTTTTGCATCCAAACACATTTACAAATGTTTGTCTTATACTTGGCAGAGGAAACAAAAGCTGAAACTATAGCTGGCAGCTGGCTGATTGCAAAGAGTGGAAAGGGGGGGAAAAAAACCCGACCAGCCTCTGGAGCTGAAGAAGGAATTTCTTTTTAATATGTATTTGACCAGAGAGCGCCGCCTAGAGATCAGCCGAAGTGGCAACTTCACTGATAGATAAGTCAAAATTTGGCTCCAAAACCTCAGGATGAAACTGACAGAGGAAAAAAAACGTGGAGTGGGGGGAGGGGAAGAGAGAGAGCAGAGCTAATAGGGGCTTGCCAGAATTAACAGCTCGGGTCTCCATGTGATGATAAGTCACTAGATGCGACTAAAGCAAAACATTTCAGAGAGGGCAGCATTATTTATTTTTCTTTTTCTTTTTTTCTCTTTGTTACTCCGGTCTTAATGATTTAAGCGATTACAGAAATATGGTTTGTTATTTCCAAGGCATGTGGCTAAGAAACATTTCCTGATAGTTTTTGTTTATTTGTTTTATGTCCTTTAGGCTGAGGCATAAGCTAAAAAGAATTAACTCTGCCGTAATAGCCCCATTGATATCCTTTTCCAATGGCATTCAGGCAGCGCTGTGTTGTGGATTTTGGTTGGGGGTTTTTTTAAGCCAACTTTTTAATCTTACTCATCTCCATGAGATAAGGGCTTCCCAGATGTAGCACATTCTGTTTGAAAATATTCACACAACTCTCGAGGAACTTGATGCCAAATACTCCCAGAGGCTAATTCTGATGAATGGGAACTGTAGAAAACAGCTGCTATAACAATATTTTAATAAAAATATAGCTTTGTGAAGATCTGACTAAATCACAAGAAAACCCATAATGAGCTATGGAGAATCAATATAATGTTTTTCATATGACTGGCAATATATTGTGCTATAATATG